TTGTGGTGTGTGTTTGCCCTCGACACTGTTCTTGTTTCCCTAGAGGGAAGGTAGATAGTACCCTCGTCGTTGCAAAACATTGTCAAAACTTTCGCAGTGACCAGCGCAGCGGTGACTCCAAAACTATTCTTAGGTTTAAATATAAACTCTAGGTCAATTTTTTTTTCTTTTTTTTCACAAAACTGACATGTTTAATAAAATGAACGGCATCAATACGAATCAATTATGGTTGGGTAAGTCCGCAAATCCATTCCACATCCTATAGGTCGAGTCATATCATCCTATAGGTAGGATAGGGTCGCTTTAGCAAGAATGCCTGGCGCGAGGGCGTCATGAGCGTTGTCGCACGACTCTTTGGTATCTCGATTGCCTTGCACGCACAAAATTTCCAAGAAAGTCGTCAAAATTTCATTCTGAGCAGTTCAGCAATTCTCTTTGCGAAAGGTTCTTGGTTGCTGAGCAGGACTTCGAAAGCACTCCGCCCCCAAAAGCGATCCGCCCACTAGTTTAGTTGGTGATTTGGACGAGCTGCGTTGCCAGCAGCGGCACAACTGGAGCAACTCGATTGGACCGTGTTTGGTATGAACTCGTTCATACGTCCGATTTCTGAGCTGTTACCTGTTCATGAGTGAAAAAGAACGGCCAAAAAAGGGGTCCCGTTTTGCGTTTTCTTGACGGATTTCTCAGCTTTTTTTCGCCACTGCGTGCCATTGAGCACCATCACGTCTTTGAACCCTTCTTGAATCTATCGTAATCGCTGCCTTTAATACGTGGCGAGTTGTCTTGCAAGTGATTTGTGGCGGTCCTTTGGAGAGAGAAGGTTTCGAAACATCTCGAAACATTATCTCGCACTGCTACGGCCACCTCTGAAGCTTTTACACAGTCTCGTTTGCAATGCTTGCCTGGATACATTCGAGCGGTTCTCACAACTGGATATTATGCGAATCCAACGAATCGAAACAATATGCTCTTGTGACAGAGCTTGGGTTTTGGTGAGTTTTTCAGGTGATGCAGCCATAAGGCGCACCGTGAGCTGCTGTTGTGGTGGACTCATGACACACCTTCACTAGCGGCCAACTAGGGAAGGCTTTGTTCATGCGGTCGCAGAAGAGAGAAGATTTTATGGTCAGGCGTGCTTCTCGGTCGTGGTCGGTCGGTGCACACGGTTTTCATAAAAACTCTATTCTACTGCAGCCCGTTCCATCAGAATGGCGGGCTCTGGTGCGTAGGCTATGCCAGATGTCTACGACAATTTACTGGTAGTAGCGTCCGGCTGCGCTTCCAACTCATCGCGCAAGCGGGTCCCATCGAGGGTGATTAAAGGTTACGGATGAGGTCGAACATTGCAGCTCGTACCGTCTTTGGTGATCCTATCGAGTCCAATTTCAGAGTGCCCGATCAGTAGCAGGGACTGGGGCAAACAGCAATGCTCTGCCTACTGCGCTCCTTGCAAGGTTCTTCTTGAAATGGTCGTAAGGCATAATCGTTCGTTTTGGTCGTTGATCTCTTTTGATTCCTACTTAGTTATCCCTTTGCGGATTTCAACTTCTAAACCCCTTACTAAAGCCTTGATGCATTCTTCAACATCCTAACATATTTCGCAATGACACTGATTTGCCTTGAAGAAAATTGAAATTTTACAAAATCGTACAGGAACTAGGGGACAACCCAATTCGTAAGGAACTAGGGGACAACCCAATTCGTAGGTACATATAGCACCTAATCTTACGCTACGCCCTGTGCCTCCGTCGTCTACTGTGCTTCCCGACTTATTTTCCGCTTATTATTATATTATAACGAGGGCTGCCTGCTTGTGTGCCTAAGAGTCATTCTTGCAATGATTGCAGAGAGAGAAGCTCGGAGCTCGCCCGATAATAGGCTCTGACACGTCAGTGAAGTTTCCGTCATCGTGAACGCATTGAGTCACTCAGCCAATTAAAATTTCAATTTTTCAATCAGCAATTGGTCGACAAAAATGGGACGGGAGTTTTTCTCACAGTCGCCTAGGCCTTGAATTCTCAGCAGGTCCACAAAAATGGAAATAATCCCTACCCAGAAAATATCCAGGCCATTAGCGTGGAAATGTATGTGACAACACCTGACATCTATCGAGAGTTCTCAATGCTCAATTTGAGAAGGGCCAAGAGCTCGACCACCGAAAAGCGATGTTGCTCGGCGACGGGGCGAATCGCACCTTTCCGGTCTGGGACAGCTAGGATTGATCGCGTTGCCATGCTAGTCTCCGAATCCAGCCCCAAAATGCCCGCCAGCTACTCCAGTACGCCGATTTCTGGTTGGTTTAATATTTTGGAAAACTTTTCAAATAAAGCTTGCCTAATAGTATCCAGAGTTGTTGTTACGGAGTGCGATTCCCAAGATTAAGCAGAATTGAACTATAACCTTTTCTTTGTTGGTCGTCTTAAAGTAGTACGTGAATATTAAGGGTTCACCGGACACATTCCCGGAGCTAAATGGCAAGTAGGAAGCCGTTATAGGCCTCCTACAAGGGCTCTGCAGTCTTCCTACGCTCCATCTTCGTTTTCGGACCAATCAGTAAGTTTCAATATTAATTCAACTATTAATTTTACAGTAAGTAAAACTTGTTAAGCATATTACATCGGTAAGATGCCTTGATAAATATGGCGCTAAATTCGTAAAAGGACCTCATTAATATTTAATTTTGCAATTTTTCAGGCTTTCTTTCAGGCTCATGATGGCAATTCGAGGGGAGCCAGAGAGAATCACAGCCATGAGCCTGAAAATGATGTGAATGAGGACGAAAGAAGAGGTGGACAGCAATATGGGCACCCTGAAAGCGGACAACGGGTGAGATTTGCTACTGGCTACTGATTTTGAGGATTAAAAAGGCATTTATTGTTCAGCACAAATTTTTAGACAAGATTTACGAGGTGGTAAATGCTACTTTCGTCGCGTTGTGCTTTAATATTTAGAGCTTAGAATGTGAGAGTGAAATGTAATTAAGAGCGTTCAATTCTCGCCGGAACAATCGCGACGTGGTTACAATGAAAGGAATCAAGGTGGATCCGAGCCGCCATATCCTGAAGGTGAGCAGACAATTGCTTTCTAGAGGTGGACATAACATATGATATACCCTCCCTTTCAAAAAGCGAGAAAGTGTCGGGTGCAGACCAAACACCACAACTGACGACGGCCTCCAAGTAAATCTGGTTAGTAGTGGTTCATAGTGATAGCTGATTTTTGGTAAATGATAGTTGTAATTAGTGACAACTGATAGAATACAACTGCAACAGGCTAATCATTTCATTGGCAAAAACATTTGCATTTTGTGGAGGCCGTCGTCACTTGTGGTGTATGGTCTGCACCCGACACTTTCTGGCTTTTTGAAGGGGAGGGTATTGAGGACCATTTTAGTCAAGGCAGTCACTTTCAAATTTACACTTTCCTCGCTCCTTTTAAGATAGCGGGTGTTTATTGAAGCTAGATAGCTGGCCACTTGAGCACAATTATGCCCACTCGGACTTTTTTGTCCATCAAAGGTACGCAAATTAGAAGAGAAAGCAGTTTGCAGAGTAAAAGCACCCTTGTAAATAAAGATCCAAAATGGACTCAGAGCACTGGTGCGTTTTTTTGTGCCTGTACGATCCTATGAAGTCATTGATGCGAGCCAAACTTAACGCTGACTCATGCTTCTTCGTTGCTTGTTCTTTCTTCAGTGTATTCTCCATCTCAAAAATAAGCAGTTCAAATGACCCGCACCTCTCCTCCCCCCTCTTACCTCGTTAAGAATTCATCCGATGACCCATTCCCTTTTTTATACCGATACGCTTCTGTGCTACGCGCCCAGCGGCTGTAATCAGCTCCACATGCGACATCAGTTCCTCGCGGAGTGGCTGAGAGACCACTCAATGGTTCTTGAGAAAGAGGGGAGAAGGGGTCACAAAATTGGCTAGTGGGTAGCAGATTCGACTAAAATATCAGAAGACCGATTTGGTTCTTTGTAAGTTTTGTGTGGACAAAATCGCATGTATAGAGGCTGTGATTCTAACTGGAGTGCTATGCGAAGCGCATCTCGAAAGATTGATCGAAGCCAGATGCTGTTTTGTTTTGTTTTATAAAAAGCTACTTCTCTTCTTCTTGAGCTTCAAACCTCGAGACCTCACTCTTGTCTAGTGTTCGTTGGGGCGTACGTTTATAGAGCCCATTAACGGTGCAAACTTTGCCAAAATTGCCACAGAATTTTGAACAATAATCCCATTATATAACGTTTTGAATAAAAGGCAAAAAGTCTTACAAAAGTCATAAAAGTCATACACACATACAGGGGGGGGGGCAAAAAAAAGACATTTTGCCCATGTCGCACTTCGGCCTTTTTTCTTCGCAGAGATTGCCGTCGTTGACGGAAGTTCCTCAGCAAAATATTCCCTAAATGTCCCTCTATAAGTACACGCAGGCCCTCCTTCACTACCCTCACCGTCTTCAGAATATGACGTCATCTGTCACCGTCGTCGAGCTCAGGGAGGCCTACAGTAACTGCTTCAGCCTGAAGCTCTTACATAATTTCTTGGATCGATTCAACGTGGGATAGTTTCCTAGGGACATTAGCTCTAACTATGCAAACCCCTCGGAACCCGCCCTTCGGAACCCGTCGTAACGGTACACGATCAGTCGAGAACCCCATTGAGCTCGACCAGAGCACCATGTTTCCGGGGCAAACTTTTCTGATGCCGTCCACGTAGATGGCCACTATGAAGATTTTCTTATGAAATGAAATGCGCTCTTCAATTCTAAGTTGGGAGCACACGCTTTGAGCTGAGCAAAGTGTGATTAAATCCATTTGAGTCTGGAGACAAAATGTCTTTTTTATTGCCCCCCCCCCCGTATATGCGTTTTGAATAAAAGGCAGTAGGCATCCTAGAGTTTTCTCACCCAACTATGATCACTGTATAAAAGTCATACACATATGTACATATAAGCAGAGCTTTTTTGATTCGAAAAAGTAAAATTTTTTTGAAAATGCACTACTGCACTACCCTCCTAAAAACCTGACATTGTCGTTTGCGGAACTAAGGAGACCATGACTTCAATCGTTGGGTTGCACTTCTACCGCCTATATGCATAGGTATACTCCAGAAACCACAGTAATAGGAGGTACGAGATGTTTAATGTGGAGGACGGAATTGGTTCTCGGAATCGCTCAGGCATGAGAAAAACGAGCTCGTCTACGTAAATACTAACATCCGGTGTGGGCGTATGTTGTGGGCTCACCAATATACATATAGCTATAAGCGGCAGTCCAGTTAGTGGTGTGTTGTTATGATAACAAATATGGAGATAAAGTATAAAGCTTGAGCGAGCATGAGATAATGTCCAGTTGCAAGCTGAATTACGGGGGGGGCAAAAAAAAAAGACATTTTGTCTCCACTTCCAGATGGATTTAAGCACATTTTGCTCAATTCAGACCGAATGGTTCCAACTTATTATTAAAGAGCGCATTCCATTCTATAAGAAAATCTTCATGGTGGCCACCTACGTGGACGGCATCAGAAGAATTTGCCCTGGAAACATGGTGCACTGGTCGAGCTCAATGGGGTCTTCGAAGGATCGTGTACCATAACGACCCTTACTGGAAAGCTAGTTCCGAGGGGATTTGCATAGTGGTAGCTGCCTCTAGAAAACTATCCAACATTAAATCGATTCACGAAATTGCGTAAGAGCTTCAGGCTGAAACACGGTAGGCTTCCCTGAGCTTGACGACGGTGACAGATGACGTCATATTCTGAAGACGGTGAGGGCAGTGAAGGAGGGCCTGCGTTACTTATAGAGGGACACTTAGGGAATACTCTGCTGAGGAACTCCCGTCAACGACGGCAATCTCTGCGAAGAAAAAAGGGCCGAAGTCCGACATAGGCAAAATGTCTTTTTTGGCCTCCCTGTATTTCCGAAAATTTTTATCAGGAGGATAAGGAGTGTATAAATTCATCCTTTTACGGAATGCGCCAGACATCCAAGTTCCATTTAGATGTAGTGGAGTTTGAATGCATCTTTGCGCTATACGATGACTCATGGGGACCAGACAATGTTCATTCCATCGTTTTTGTCGTCCTAAACAAGTTGGGTGCTACAAATAAGGTGAGACGATGGGGTACGATGGGCAAGAGGGTGTAACTGCACAACTACCCGAAAATTGCTAGTGAAAATACTACTGGAAGAATATGGTGTGGGTTCGAACAATTTGAGAGGAGAATTAAGCCCATTGCCATGTGATATGTATTTGTTCACACAAATTTAGTGCCAGAGTTTGTCAGGGTGCCAATTGTCAGAGTGCCAAATTCACATTTTCCAAAGCGCTCGATAGCGACCCACCAAGATATGTCAAGAACGTTGTGACAGAACTCATGTGAAGAACAATCCAGAGACCCTAGGTTCAAATAAAAAGAAGAAGACATTACACCCGATTTTGAAATGTAATATGAACTCTCGTTCAACTCGCTGGCGGTAGCCTTTAAATGTGATTGCACTTATCCATGAACTACGGTAATCATCCGATTTCAAGAATATTCTTTTCCCTGATGGGCGTCACCGACTGGTTGACCCTAGGGGTGGAGAGGGCTTGGATGGCTGGGTGAAAGTGTGGCCCGTCTATGGGGCGGAGTAGGTGGCGCCGGTTGTGACTGCACCACCCCGCCTTTTCGCCAAAGTTGAGAAGAACGAAAAAATTATGAGGAAAAATTATTCACGTGGGCAACTAACATAAGAGCAATACTCGACAATGAATGTTCCGACTTTAATCGACTTCTAGCTATTTTCTGAAACCGCCAAAGAACAACGGGATTTTACTCTAGATTGACGCATATTTTCATACCGTAGACGTTATGTATCTTGTCTCAAAACAAACACAAATAAAATTCAGACTCACAGTTATCATTGCTTCGTCCTGGAAGCTCGGAGATGTCCATCATCTATAATAGTGAAGGTTTTCCAGTGCGTATCATAAAGAACAATCAAGTGTTACATACAAGTACAAGTGATGCGCATTCAATACGAGTTAGTTGCTTTTTATCGTTTATACTTTGATAGAATGCATGAATGATAATTTCTTGAGCAGGTTTCATTTCTTTGTTTCATAACGAATTCTTTTCTGCCTTTCAAGGGCCTGAATAGTCCAGGCAGTGAGCACCTGAGAAATGGATTTCCGCTCGAAAATAGCCCCCAACCACAGACCAGACCTCCATCAGTGAAGCAGAGAGCAAGAAGTTTGCCAAGAAGTGAGTGAGAAGCACATTAAGTCCTCAATAACTATCTTAAAGGTTGTTTATAGGACCAGTTGAGAGAGATCCTTTCGAAGGATTGGAGGGAGGATGGTGGAGTAAAGGAGAAGTGCTGAGGAACAAAGTAAGGCCTTTTGAAGATTTGTAGATTGAATCCTAGAGAGATTGTCGAATGGTCTTAAAGGAACGACGAGAATTAGCGAATACTGGTAAAACAGTTGCTGGAGGTGACTGGTCACAACGACCGGAGACACCGAAACAGCAAAGGCAATCCAGGTGGAAGGTGAGTTATTGAACGAATACGTTATTATAATTTCTATTAACTTTTTTCATACTTCTTCCGTGGCTCCTTTAAAGGCACATGTTGCTACAAATTGGTCGCACAGTGGAATGAAGCACAGCCGTGAAGAAGTGAAGCTGTCAAAAAAATCTCAGGGAAATGGCCTAAAACCCGTAAAGCGGAACCCTTATTTCTCCGGCGTTGGAGGAGTTTGATCTGTGCTGACGTCATTGATGATAGACCTTCTGCCTGTTTGCTAATTCGGCTAGGGTCCGCGGCAAGAATCCGACGATGAGGGTCTAACCAATCAGCGGGCGCGGACAGTCGCGAAGAGATTCACCGCGGCGAGCGAGGTCCCTTTGAGCCGCTACGGGGCACCCTTCACGGCAAAACGCGCCTCATCGCGCTCCCTTAAAGGCAAGATTCAGGATTAAATTATGAGGTAATTCCACTCAAATGTGAAAGTAGGGGTAGGTAGTGGACCGCCAGTGGAGAAAAAAGAAAAAAAATCGTGAAATACACAGGAAATACGAGCCTTTTGCTCTACGCTGCGGAGAAGTTCAAAAGGCCGGCAGGGAGATGAGAGATAATGTGAGCGCGGAGAGCGCTAGAGAAGTCCGAGTAGAGAGAGCATAGCAGATCAAAGCGACGCAGACAAGATATCGAGCGGTGGGCGGAGCGTGTCGCAACAGGTGGAGCGTGTCAAAGTTCTTAGCGCCTAGCGTCTAAATAACGCTTTTCGAAGTAGGGAAGTGACGCGACCTCTACACTTGCGTACCTAGCGCTTCTAGCCACCGTAAAGGCTCATTAAGTGGGTCTGAGCCCGAACTTTGCCTTTAAGGCCCTCCCTCACGTAGATAGTTTGTAATTTCACTCTTATTTATCGTAACACCTGTCTTTGCGGTCTTATGCAGTTTTATGTTTAAGGATCAGATGTATAATATTATCACTGAAAGCTATGCAGTGGACTGAATAAATAGGTATAATACTTAAAAAGCAGGCACGGTAATAAGCGGCATAATGCATTCATAGAAATGACACCACATCGCCCCACTAGCAGTAAGGTGATTGTCGCTTTGTAACTCCAAAGAAGAAGTATCCTTTCGCGCTGTTAAAGTCGCCTCCCTAGCAGACCATAAACACTTCTAAATCTTTCGCGTCCACTTTTTTTCAAAGTTGTCTATAGACACTTGGAACACATAATCAATTATTGGCTTGGCTTCGTAGTCATTGCTGCGTAATCCTAACACACACCAAAAGTTTCGCAGTAATTCGGTGGGGTTTGGATACGTGGCGCACCTCCAAGGGAATCGATAAAGGTTGACCACTTTGACCGCTCTCATTGTTGACGAAAGGTGAAATAATAGAGTTAAAAAAACAACATCACCTCAGTCGTCACTTGCTAATGAAACGAGTGACACTGATCGCAGTTCCAAAGCCAAATCCTTTTTTCCTGTCGACCTCGGCGTAACAGCTGGCGACTTTTTGTGCTATAGCACTGGGTATCAATCCGCTGGTGATGTTTTACGGCAAGGCCAACTTCTCTGAAAAGTACTCAAGAGTGGTGGAACTGGTGTATCAGCGATTTTATAAAATCACAGTCATTCTTTACTCAAAAGCGCATTCACCAATGACGGGTGGCTCTTGGGTTCCGTATCATATTTGCCGTTTGTCATATTTGCCTTCACACTGATGGGAGGAGCGTAGGGGGGGGGGGGGTGGAAAGGAAATGAAATAGCGGCAAAGCGTTTAATTTACGACCCCAAAAAAGCTGGGATTTGGGTAAAAGTCTAGATACAAATGGGCATCAAACCGGCATCTCTTGCTGAAGCAACGTGCAAGAAACAGCGAAGGCTTTCTTCGATACTTCTCTTTCATCATAGACTTCTGCTTTCGAGGTGGTGCGCACGCCTCATAAAATTTGCTTATATAATCTCATTCTTTCCCGTACATTCCCTTTTTTACTGACGGTCTGCTTTGCATCTCTATTTTCATTTTCAGCAATCACACCAAGAAAAAAAGCGCTTTTTACAGCATGTCGAAGTAGTATGAGCCTATGTTGCCTAACAAAAAAAAACTATGCTTCCAAAACTTATTTGAGATATCAGACAAGCTTATATACAGGGGATGTTATCATATCAGCTCGCAGGTACATAAGCATAGTTCCTAATCGCGTTATAAAGAGGTTAATGCTTATGATCCCTATCAACCAGAGCTGGAAGAGATGATATAGCCCACACCCGGAGGCCTACATCATTGGGGAGGGATTATGGGAGCCTTAGCCTTATCCGCACGTAGACAGTACAATGAAGAAAGAGCTCTCTACCACTTTGTCCCAAAAAGCAGGCCAAATATGTGAAATTGAAGGGGACAAAAAATGCAGGGCCTCGTATCCTATCGGCCATTTGGGTATTCGGACCTTTTTTACGATACACCTCGAGAAATTAACAACGGCAATGATAGATACTACCTGCAACACTCCATCTTCTTTTGGTGCCTTTCATACACTTTGGTATACTCAGGACAAGTTGGGAAAGTGCTTGTAACGGTCTTGCTTCCAACCTCGCCAGTGGCCCTCGAATTAGTCGAACCGTCCACAGTCGCCTACAAGTCTTGGAGAAGAATGCCTATGGGTTCTTGATCGAAACCAAGTCCTCATTAGATAGGGAGACTAAAATTTCTCTCTTCAAAGCCACGAGTCGGGATTAGGTCCTCAGAGCCATTCCCTTCCAAAGTGAGATAGAGGGGTCCCCAAGCGCAAGAGATACGACACTGTCGCCACTCAAAAGTGCGTGAAATCGGCGTTGAGACCAGGGTCGGTCTGGTTTGGCATGGTGTCACCAAACGCATTGCGGTGAACTCGTTCATACGTCCGCTTTCTGAGCTGTTACCTGTTCATGAGTGAAAACCAACGGCCAAAAAAGGGGGTCCCTTGATGGATTTCTCTGCTTTTTTATTCACTGGCGTAACACTGAGTACCACCAGGTCTCCTCTGCTGCACCTCAAGAAACCCTTCCGATACTCTGATCCTCGCATTCGCTTGGAGGACTTCATACTGTGTTTCTAATTAAATGAGATAAGGCGATGGCAAAACTCTTGTTCTTTGATTTTCTTGTCTCAAAAGTAGCTGCTGTTAGGAGTCAGAAGAGCCGCCTTTTGGAGCACCTTTACGACTTCAAGGCAAATCGTACGATAAATTCGGACATGTCAATCCATTGTGCGTGAACGGTGAGAGCCTCCTACTATATATAATGCGCTATGTCTGTCTGTCTGTCTGTCTGTCTGTCTGTCTGTCTGTCTGTCTGTCTGTCTGTCTGTCTGTCTGTCTGTCTGTCTGTCTGTCACGAAATTCCGTATTAAGCGGACAACAACCTACTGGGTCCAGGTCAAGTATGGGATGGGTGTACCATATCTCGAGAAGTAAAAAACATACATTACCTAAGCGGAGCCTCCGCCCACAGTGGGCGTGGCGTGCGTCGAAATGAGTGGTACTGAGGACCATGATTTCAAATTCAGTCACAAAACAGCCTCGAGACCGGGACAAAAGTGGGTATAGGTGTGCGGTTGGTAAGCCAGATCGAACTGAGGAGACCCACCCTCGGTGGGCGGGGCGTTCTCTAGAAAAAGCGGTGCTCAGTGAAAATATTCATAACTCGGTTAAGAAGAAGCCTACAGACCAGAAACGAAATTAGTGCAGGGGAGCAATGCCTAAGGTATTTCCACCACGCATGATGTGAACGGAGGCCCGCCCACAATGGGCGGAGCGTGTCGTGAAGCGGACAGCGTTTTCTACAAGAGCTCATAAATCGGCTCCGAGATGACTTAGAGACCGGAAAACAACGGATAGAGGTCAGGAGGGGAGGGGAAGCTAAATGTCAGGGAATGGGCGTGGCTTACATCAAAGTGGGCGGAGTTTGCAATTAGGCTTATAACTCGGTTCCTAGGAGTCCCGGAGTCCGGGAAAAAAGCGTATGAAGGGTTGGCAGAGGGAAAGGGGTCAACCGTTGTTGGCGGGCGGAGCATGCACCAAAGTGGGCGGGGTTTGCCACGGTACTTCATAACTCGGTTCCAATAAGTTCCAGGAGATGGGAAAAGTAGAAAAAGGTTGGGGAAGAGATGAAAGTCAACTGATAGCAGTGGGC